GTCAATGCAGTCTTCTGGGATGACATTTCCGTGTTCGTTTAGCAGGCGTCAAGCTAATGACTATCCTCTTGGACTCGCGGGCAAGAAGTCTCGAGTTGCCCGGATAAGAGTCGTTTCCACTCTAAAAGCTATTTGATTTTACAAATAACTTGACGTATTCTATTGATACATGCTTATGAAGGAGAAGTACTTTAATCATCACTTAGCGTTCAAGAGGGACCGTGCCACAGAGAAAATTGGAAAGATTTACAAATAACGTCCGCGTTTCTAATGGCATAATTTCATTAATGCTGATTCTTAAACTGAACATAAAAATGGCGCAGAGCAAAATAGAAGTTTTAGAAAAAAAATAGATTTCCAATAACCCTTGAGCGAGCAAGATTGTTACGACACGGCCTTTGAGAAATAAACGACTTCGCCTGATTCTAAACTCAGGTGGCCTCTAGATTTAGGAAGAACGGGGAGGATGAGACTCGGTTCGTGTACACTTTCACAGCCACGTAAAATCTAAAACATCGTTTTGTAAAGGCCACTTTTTTCCGGAGTTAATCTGGCACTCAGTTTGACTGTTTCTCTGTTTGTAGCTTTAAAAATCATTATAACTACTTAGATTAGCTTACCTTGCACCAAGCTCTGAAGCTCTAGCCAAACGGCACAGAGGAAAACTACCTGCGAGATAAAATGACCAATGTTACTAAAGCAAACCTAAAATTCTCCGGAAACATAATTTAAAAAAGTGAAAAAGAATCAAACCTTCATCTCCCATATGAAAAGATTCATTGCTTCTTTCGAAAGAATTGATAATGTGGCTTAGGACCTCATGACGAGGTAAGGTAAAATATTGTTCTACTCACTGTTGGCGGGCGATTAAACGTAAACAGCGTCAATGGTTACACAATAACAAATGTGAAAGCAAAAAGCTGGAATCTGTCACCACTCGCCGGTTAATTCTGGGTAATTTCTACTTTCATTAAAGCAGCGTAAATACATTACATGGATATTGTGTTTATCTATCTTGAAAAACGAGAGACTGTTTTTTTTCAGGAACACGAAATTGCATCCTGTTTGAAAGCTGCAAGCAGGTTTCAAGCTAATTATATGTCAGCTTGACTCCTCCGTGTCAATCGTTTCTTTAATCAATGGCGTGTGAAAAGATAAACAATATCTGGTTACCTTACAACTACCCGGCAAAACAAAAAAAGGGCGAAAAAAGCGACTTCTGCTCGTATTAGTTCGCGTTGTTTAGTTCATGAAGCTAACCAAAGGACAGTCACCCGGCATTTTAACAACCGACAGTAGTAAAAAAAGAATTAAATGTTAGTGAAATTTTGATAATGGCAGGGAGTCTCCTGGAGTATTTCATTTTTGCATTGCTGCCAGGATGTTTTGCTGACAAGTATCGTGTGTCAGTCAAAACAGGTGAACTAACGTTACATCATCAAAAAAGGTGGTTGCCTCATGCATAGGTAATTCCCGGTTTAGTTTCTATACAGGTAGTGCATAGTTGGCAAACTTGAAGTTTGCAAGTGGCCGAAAAAGCACAAAATTTACAAAATTGTTCAGAACGTTCTATGTCAAGCTTACTCTATAACGAGAAACGGAGAAAAGAGAAACGGAAAACTTTGAGGGGAAATTTTAAATGGATATTTTAAGCACCATTAACATTGTGAAATGTGTGACAATTTCCACTAAGGTTTGAAGAACTTTAAAATTCTTTTCCGCAAGGTAGAAATCAGAGGTAAATTACTTCTTAGTGTTTCATGTTAATGTTCACAGTAATTTTGGTAATAATTAAACGAAGCAAAACATTTTGATTCAGTTTTATGTATATATCTCATATATTTACATGTGAAATTTTCTACTTTTTTACATTACATTGATTTACCTATTTGCGCAAATTAAGATATGAGTTCACCGCTTTCAGAAGATGTTTAACCCTGGTGCTACAAAGCTCAGCTTAATTTTCCATCATGAAGTAATAATGTGACTACGAAGTAAATTGTTTAGGGAATCATTCCACCCAATGATTAACAATCAAATTTCTTCAATTATGAAACATCTGCATGGATCTCATAAAGCCAATCAAAGTTAATTCTTCCAGGGAAAAAATCTCGGGGCTGTAAAATAGCGTGTTACCTAAATTCTCACTTATTCGCTTTTTTACACAATAAAATTAAATGTATCTCGTGGAAAAAGAGGCTACTTAAGTTGGTGTTTTGCCTCACTTTTTTGTTTTTCTGTTATTCTGGCACACATCAAAGACCTGTTATCTTGCAAATATTCTGATGTTATTTTTGGTGTTTTGTTGTGAACATTTCGACCACTCTTTATCTGCGAATAAAGTTTATAGGTGTTGCGGTCAAGTGCAACTTGTAGCCAGGTGATATCGCAAGGAAACAAGTGGATATCACCATAACTAATTAAATGTGTTAAATTTATTAATGTACCCCCTTTGAAGCAACTAAAACTGAAGAACTAGTTATCGAGGATTGCTACGATTATAGAAAACCCTGAACATGAGAAAAAAAAACTCTAAAAATCAAGTTCTTGTAAATAAGAGTCCAATCTTCATGAAAAACTTCGACTTTGTATTTAAGATTCAAAGTTTGTTCCGTTTTCATTTTCTTGCATGAAGTCATCGAAACCCCACTGAGATAGTCATCGTCCCCATCAGCGAGAAACAAAATGACTTTACTCTGTGGTAGCAATTGAGAGATTCAAATTTGCTGTGAATCGTTTTCTACTGCGCTTATTCAAGTCTGAACTGATCACCAGCCAGTCAGACTGAACTCAAGATTTGTGGAGCTTGTAATGGTGTTACATTAATAAATAATAAGAGCCGCAACCGAAGGGCCGTTGTGAAACAAATTAATTAGTAAACATTTCCAGTAAGTTCTCTATCAGTGTCATCCAAAGCCTTGGTCACCAAGTTAATCCCTCATTTCTTGATTTAGGGAGCTCAATTTGGTGCTTTATATCGTTTCGCTATTCAGACCAACAGTCGCCTCTTATCACTTGGCTAACATTTTCAACTTTTTCATCGCAATTTGAATTTTACGCAATATTAAAAAATTACATAGCATTACTGCTCGACAGCTTTGATTATATTTGTCACACAGCAAGGTTTCCCCTTATGAAATTCTTGAATGATTTCTTTCCTAGATCATTCGCTGCCACATACCCTGTAATCAGTAATTCTTAGATAACAAAAGGAAAATATTTGCCTTGTTTCAGAAAAAAGCTATAAAAATAAGGGCCAAAGTTCAGGGAGAACGAGAAATTCTGTTAAGGCACCAGCTGAGTTGCCGAGTTTTTTCACAGCTTTTCAGAATTCTCCCAGAATTTCTGACAAACACGAAACGCTTGATAATTGTAATAATTGATATGCAGATTCTCTTAGCTCCGGCAATTCTTTGTCTACGCCTCACGTATTGTCTGTGTTTATATCAAGTAATAGTAACAAGTCTCTTATAACCCCCGTTCTGTAAAAACAATCTCCGCGGGCAATTTACCAGTCAATGAAAAGTTTCAAAACCAAATCTATTCTGTTGTCGACAGCGAAAAATCTCTGAACGCGCTGGAAAACGACAGTGTTTGAAGCACACGAAATGGGCATATTGCCTTCATTACCATCCAAGGTTAGCTGGGCTACGCTGTGTTTTTCATGGGTACCAAACAATTGAACTTATAAATTAATTTGGATTTTCAGACGTTTTGGCTTCTTGGCCTGATGGTTTTAGCTTATGGAGGCTTATCATATGCAGGTTTGTGTCTGTCACATATGAGTATGTTTGCTAATCATGACAATGAGAACTATGATTTGAAATTAGTGAAAATAAATTGAATTAAAAATTTCAATCCTTTTAGCCGTAAACCTCGTTATGGTTTGGAATAGTTAATAGGATCTCTGATTTAAAGCAAAGCATTATGCCCGTCGGGTCATGATTCTTATTTGACATCATGTATAGGTTCTTAACTTTTCATTTACTTTTTTGAGAAAGATACTCTTCCGGTACGATCGTCAAAAAACTGTGTGCAAAAACTGTCACCAAAAAAAAAAAAAAAAACGTCATTTTCTCAAGAACTGCAATTAGCAATAACCTCAATAGATAGTGACATCAATAAGCTCACTCACTATTGCGATTTCAGTTACAATATTCACCAAAGTTAATGTTGAAGTTAGTGATTTGTTTTGGGTTATGGACGACTTCATTCACGAAAAGCACCACAATAGATTTTCAAAATCAAGAACCATAAATGATTCAATACATGCATTTTGCACCCGTTATTAGGCGCTTAGCTCAATATTTGGAAACGTCTGTATTACAACATTACCTTGCCTGAAACATCCATTCAGAGTAAAATGTTGCATCTCACGGCTGCTTTTGTTTTAATCCACTCATAATTTTCAACGCTCTTTCAATTTGTCTCTTTAAAGGCAGAGCAAAATGTGAAATTAGCGCCCACTGTAGTAATGCTACCTAGTCTAAACAAGAAGCTCAAAGAACTTTTAATCGGATTGTTCTGTTTTACTGGTACACGTAGAAAAATAATTCCGGTCAAGAAGAGAGTCTTGGAAATTGGCTAGATGCGTACTAGTCAAATAATTACTTACTGACGGTTGCAACAAGACCCTGAGGTCTATGACCGCCTAGTTAATTAAGTTACAGCCCTCCTGTCAATCTATCTGTAGTAAATATAGGTTAGGAGACACTGCTAAGTCAATTCGCGGAGAATTCCCGCGAATAAGCCTTCCTTGTAGTTTCTGTTCATCAGAAAATAAATCCTCTCCCTGCTTCTCTAATTAGCGCATCATCAAACATCAAATAAAATTAAGTCCCAAGTGTTTTGTTAGATCAGAAAAATTCCTCACAACCTCGCTGAACTCTGACAGATATTAAGGAGTTAAAGCAAACCAAAACGGAAAAGGCAACGGGAACGTCAATAACAAAAGGTCTAATGAGCAGAACAGTGGCCGTGCTCAAATTCAGTTTTAAGATAGCTCTCACATTAATAGACAAACTGAATGACTCAAGGGTATCGCCAGGATAAATATAAATTCCTTTTTCAATCGATGTTGTCCCCGTCGCCGCCGTCATGTTTGCTTGAACTCCCAATTAAGTCGAAAGAGGTAATGAATGTTTAAAAAGGGCGTCTCTAATTTATAACAGACTTGTGGCTATTCGGAGGCAACGTTACCTTCCGTCCAAGGGACATCAGGGACCTTTATGCTTTGAGATCAGATTACTGTCATCCTTTTTTTTTTCTGACTCGAACGGGACTTTAAACGTTATACTCAACAGTTTGCCATGGCAACAAGGTATTTGACGAGCCTCTTAGCCTGAACTATACGACCGGTGCAATTCGCAAATTTGTTATTCACAACTAACTGTCAATGGCCACGCGCCAGCAGGGAATCATTGGTAGTCTTATTCGTCGTCTTGGACTGAATATCTATTTTGACGAATACAATTTCCATGATTCCCTGAAAAGATAGAGCTCTAAATATTTGCAAACGAATATGGGTCTTAATGCAGAGCTTCTTATGTCTTGTTTAGCGGTTCCATGTGCCAAAAATCCATGCCGAAATGGAGGAAACTGCACAGTCAAAGGAAAGGACAGCTACATTTGTCAATGTACTGAACGATTCTTTGGAGACACTTGCAAAGAAGGTAAAACCATAAATGGGATTTGAGGACTACGCCTTGTAAAAAAAAAAGAAAAAAAAAACTTGAACGCCATACTAAGTTCCAGAAATAGTTTATTTTTAGAAAACGTCACAATAACAAAAATGTTTTACCATTGACACTTTAAAAATTGAAGTACTTTTTAACTATCGGTTAGGCGCATAACCTAAACAAAAATCATTCCAAATTTAATAAAAACTAATTTGTCACCTTCCCCCTCCCCAACCCGGCATTACAATTTTATACATAAATGGAAAGATAGCCTTTTTTCGTCTATTTCAAAAAATATCTAGAGTGCTTAAATGCTCTTGGCATGGAAGACCGTACAATCTCTGACGAACAAATTACTGCTTCTTCGCAATGGGATGCTAATGAAGCCGCCCACCAGGGAAGGCTTCATTTTCATAGAACACTGTCCAAGGCAGGTGGCTGGGTGGTTGCCACAAATGATCTCAGTCAATGGCTTCAGATCGACTTTGGCGGTCTGCACACTAAAACAACACGTGTGGCAACACAAGGAAGAAATGGAAAAGAGGACTGGGTAACCAAATACAAGCTAAAGTTCAGTAACGATGGCGTGAACTTCACGTGCTACAGAGAACCAGGAGAAACCGACGACAAGGTGAAATCCACTCCGAAGTTGATTACTCTTGATCCTCCAGTAACGGCCACATTTGTAACTGCCCACTAATTGCAACGGTGGTCATTAACGGTCCTAATCAAAACTATAGCAAAATTCTCGAACGTGATTGGCTATCAGCAGCCCGATTTTAGCATTAATTGGACAGTGTACGCGTCATGTTTGTAATTGGATAGTATACGTCATTTTGCGCGCGCTGTTGCGGTGCACTTTGTTGAGTAAACTGTTGTGTTTTTCAGCATTCATAACGACGTTTAATTGTTCAGCGCTCAATCGATAGTTTGTTCGTTTCTCGAATTTTGTCATAGTTTTGATTAATTGGTGACAGGGCTTCGCGTCGTCCAATTCAGTCTTTAATCATACGCTTCGCGGTCGTCCGATTTTGTTAATCACTGGTATGATTACAGATCGAATTGGACTCCACTCAGTCCTATTACCATTGTTTATCATAGCTATATGCTGTACAACCATAGCAACCAATACTCAGTACAGTAGAAAAACACCTCCAAAATGTCTATGAACCATAAGGCATCGCCGCCCATGTTCTCACAGGCCTCGCAAGGACAAACACGGAGAATCTCTTGCAGGCAAATTCAGTATGACACACAAAACTTTTAAAATTGTGAAAGTAATTACCAGTTTATACAAAAAAGCTTTAGAGCTATTCTTTTGCAAGGTATGATCATGTTAGACGTCTTTTAGCAAGTGTGGCTATTGTTTCGGCATCACGCACTCGAGCTACTCTCTCAGGAGCAGCAATATAGTCGCGTCTTTCTTTTATCTTTACAAAAGGAGTGTATACATAAAATAACATTTTCCAGACATTCTACTGACTTCTCTAGGAAGATTAAAAAACTGAATTAAACAGCTCCGATGTCCAGGAAACGATTAAAACTGCAAAATAAGTGCAAGGCAAAAAAATGAGATTATGAACAAGAATCAGAAGTAATTAGCTTCAATAAGCTGTAACATGAGCTCCCCAGAACGTGTTGCTTCCCTTGCATCATACGGTAAAACGGACGGACAGTAAAACTGTAATGCAAGGACCATTTGTACAAACAGCAGCGGAGTGAAGCCGGATCTTGGTTTTGATCAGGATCAGCAGTGTACAATAAAGCATAAAACCAAAGGAAAGGCTTACCGGACGACTGAAAAGGGTAAATTTAATGCCCTTTAATGCCCTTTTAAACATGTACCTCCAGACGGCGTAGTGCGCGCTCAAAAAAAGTGCAAGAGACGCAAATGTTTCCCTTACTGGGAAGGCGACAAAAAAAAACGGGCACCACCGTGAAAGTTTTTTCAAAAAGATGAAGACATTTCATTTGACTTTTAAAACGCGTGGTTACCCCCACAGGTTATGTTATGAAATGGAAGTGGCAAGCCTGTTCATTACGTGATTAGTCTCTGGTTGTGAGGAAAAGCTATTTAGACTGTATCTTGGCTAAACTAGAGGAGAGCTTTCAGGGACGCTAAAAGAGCTGTTTCGAAGATTTTTGTTATTAAAAAGACAGCAAAAGTGGTTTTATGTTACCATTAACTTACCATAAGTAAGTAAGTAAGTAAGTAACTTTATTTAACCATGCAGTTAAAGATCTTTATAAATGTTTTTGCTTTTCTGTATGTAAAGGCGAATTCTAAGAAAATCTAGGAAGAAAATTTTTTTCCTTCTTTTTCAAAAAAAATGCCTACATCAGCATTTTTATTCCATATTCAAGACTATTCGGAAAAGTGCGCGGCTAATCCCAGTTTTCCTTTTGGATTCCGACAGCCCTTGCTAAGATCTCCTTTTCCATGTGGTGCGACAGCCCTTGTTAAGATCTACTTTTTCCATGTGGTCCGACAGCCCCTGCAAAGATCTACTTTTTCCATGTGGTCCGACAGCCCCTGCAAAGATCTACTTTTTCCATGTGGTCCTAATCCGGCGAAAAGACCTAGTTTGTATTTAGTGTGCACCGTCCTTAACATAATTGAAATTATCCGCGGCAGGAGTTTCATGATCTCTATAACAAAAACTGTTATCTCACTGGCATAGGAATTCGCTGGGAACACAGACCAGGACACTGTTGTTTATCATGACCTAAACCAAACCATAACTGCACGTTACATACGCTTTCAACCAGTAGATTGGCATAATTGGATTTCGATGAGGGTGGAGCTCTATGGTTGCAGAGGTACAGTATTTACCCATGTATATGCAAAGAGTCTATGTTTAAAGTACGTTTCTTATTAAGCTCGCTTTCCAGCCATCATTACTAGACAATAATTAACAGAGGCAGCGTCTTATTTGGAGGCGGCGTGTCCGAGTGGTTTAGGGCGCTGGATTTGAAATCTGGAGCTCCCTGGTTCAAATCCTCCGCCCTACCGCTATCAGGATTTGTTCTCGGTAGTCCCGAGTTCAACTCCTCGACCGCGTTGAGTAAATAACCAACTGGTCAGCCTCCAAACAGTTGGGATTCTTAATACTTTATGTTATATTTGAAATATTTGTTTATTTATTTACAGTATTTAATAGTGCTAAATACATTTGACACTTAAATAGTTATTATTATTATTATTATTATTATTAACATTTTGATTCTAGAATAGTCCACTAATCACCAAGTCATCCTGATTAGTCGATGACCAATTTGTACTCGCATACTCAAAGCAAAAAGTATCCACCTACTACCACTATTAGGTACGACATTACAACGGGTATTTCCTTAAAGACGAAAAAATGGGCCGGAATAACTGTTCTGTGCCAGAATTTCACATGTATATCTATGGATGTCTATGGATATGGTTTATCTGCTAGAATGTCAACAAGCTCTTGGCATGAGGAACAATGCAATCTCTCATGGACATATTAGTGCCTCTTCGCAATTCGATGCAGACCATGCCCCCTTCCATGGCAGACTGAGATTTAAAGAGGGTGCTGGTTGTTGGTCGCCAAGCTCAATAGATGCCAATCAGTGGCTCCAGGTGGACCTTGGAAGTATTTACACTAAAGTGACATGCGTAGCAACACAAGGAAGACACAGTCAAAATCAATGGGTTACCAAGTACAAGTTACAGTACGGTGACGATGGAGTGAATTTCCAGATCTACACGGAAAATGAACAAAGCGCAGATAAGGTAAAATGTGATGCATGATAAAAAGTGAGTAAATCTCACAGCGCTCATTTACAGCAATCAAATATTATTGTGTTTAATAGTAATAGTAAGACTAATAGTAATAGTAATTGTAATAGTACATGTAATAGTAATAGTAACAGTAGCAGTAGCAGTAGCAGTAGCAGTAGCAGTAACAGCAACAGTAACAGCAACAGTAACAGCAACAGCAACAGCAACAGCAACAGCAACAGCAACAGCAACAGCAACAGCAACAGCAATAGAAATAGTAATAGTAATAGTACTAATAGCAGTTATAGTAATAGTAATCGTAATCACTGGTAATGGTAATGGTAATGGTAATAGTAATAGAAATAGTAATAATAAAAATGTTAATCTATTTAATTTCGTGACACAGGGAGTGGTTACCTATTCTTCCGAACCGGGGGCTCACGATAAAAGCGCTAGACAAAAAATAAACTACTTCAATAAAAAATTAACGTGAAAAATATGAAAAAAGGATATCCAGCCTTCGGAAGTACAACGAAAATTTTCCTTCCTTTGGGTCATGGCCAGCTGAGAAAAGATACTTTCGGTTGTCCATGTCCATGTAAAATCAATATCCATTTCTAGGTAATGAGAATTTTCATTGACGAAATTCTCAATGGCTAATCTGATTCCTAACAGTTTGTAATGCTGATTTTTTAGGAGTTTGCTGGAAACACAGACAAGGCCAGTATTGTTAAGAACGATTTAAACCCGCCGATCATTTCACGCTACATTCGTTTTCTACCAATAGCCTGGCACGACCATATATCAATGAGGGTAGAGCTCTATGGCTGTATAGGTATTGTGGCAAAGTTTGTATTCGTTTTTATGTCGACAATTTCTCTCAAACTTGCTGCATATAAAAGGCAAGTTTCTCTGGGTTTTTTTGTTTTTGTTTTCGTTTTTTATTTTTTTTGTTTTTTTTTTGTTTTTTGGTTTTTTTGGTTTTTTTTGATTGATTGACTGACTGACTGAAAAAAAAAACAACCAAAGGAAACAAGAAATGAATGATAATCCGAGGTATGACAACCGAAAAAAATACATACAATCATTTCCTCTACCAGTGAGGCCCAGTTGAGACGCCGACCTTTTCATGAGCCAAGACCAATACGTTGAGTTAAGTACATGAAAAGTTCGGCGTCTGAATCAGTTAAGAACGGCTATTTGAATTTGGAACGGTTCAGCCGTTCTTCCCGACAAGCTCTTCCGGGAATCTCGACTTCGGACTTTGATTCAGACGTCGGACTTCTCACGTGTCGAACCTAATGCATAAATTATTATAGCTTATTTTACAAGCAGCTTACACTTTGCCTCAAAACCGCTGACACTTAGATGTGTTTTGGTGCATACTAAATGAAGTTCGGCGAATTACGTTCGACGTCTGAATCAAAAGACGAACGTTCAGGTCGGTCCAAATTCGAATTAGGTTCGGCTCATGAAAAGTTCGGCGTCTGAACTGGGCCTAACAGCTTTANACATTCGTTTTCTACCAATAGCCTGGCACGACCATATATCAATGAGGGTAGAGCTCTATGGCTGTATAGGTATTGTGGCAAAGTTTGTATTCGTTTTTATGTCGACAATTTCTCTCAAACCTGTTGCAAATAAAAGGCAAGTTTCTTTGTTTTTTGTTTTTGTTTTTGTTTTTCTTGATTGATTGACTGACTGACTGACTGAAAAAAACAACAAAAGGAAACAAGAAATAAATGATAACCCGAGGCATGACAACCGAGAAAAATATATACAATCATTTCTTCTACCAGTAAGGCCCAGCTGAGACGCCGACCTTTTCATGAGCCAAGGCCAATACATTGAATTAAGTACTAGAAAAGTTCGGTGTCTGAATCAATTAAGAACGGTTATCTGAATTTGGAACGGTTCAGCCGTTCTTCCCGCCAAGCTCTTCCGGGAATCTCGACTTTGGACTTTAATTCAGACGTCGGACTTTTCATGTGCCGAACCTAATGCATAAATTATTATAGCATATTTTACAAGCAGCTTACACTTTGCCTCAAAACCGCTGACATTTAGATGTGTTTTGGTACAAACTAAATTAAGTTCGGCGAATTAAGTTCGACGTCTGAATCAAAAGACGAACATTTGGGTCGGTCCAAATTCGAATTAGGTTCGGCTCATGAAAAGTTCGGCGTCTGAACTGGGCCTAACAGCTTTATATGGAAGGGAAATTTATGGCAAAGGTCTTCATTGGAACATTTTTCTTTCCTGTTTAATCTTGTAGCCATCGGCGTTCTAGATCCTAAGGTTCTCTACCCCCTTAACAAATGGTTTTCAGTACGGGAAATCAACGACGAACAACCCCAGGGTACCCCTGTTGGAGTGACGCTAGCAACTGGTCCAAATGGTAACGAAGATGGCTCTTACGAGTTCGATGGACACGCGAACAGCTACATTGACTTTCCAAACGATGGGGGATTGGATGTACAGCATTCCATCACAGTGTTATGTTGGTTGTATCCTAAGATTATAGGTAGAGGATCAATCTTCAGTTATGGAATAAATGATCAGCAGTGGACAGTTCATTTTTGGATTTCCAATTCGGGAAAACTTATGGCTGGTTATGCGGACAGAAATTACTCGGACATACCAGCTTTTAAGACCGATAATTCCCTGGCAAGTAACCAATGGCACTATGTTGGCACTTCCTATGATCACGATACTGGTATTGCAAGCATTTGGATAAATGGTACAAGAATTGTGCAGCGCAGTATCGGAGCTGGAATAACTCTTGCTACTCAAGACGACGTCAGAATAGGTGCATTTAAAGAGCGGTATTTCACGGGAAGAATTGCTGCAATGCAATTCTTTGACGCCGCGCTGACCGCGAAGCAAATAAATGAAGTGAAAGAATCGGGTCTAGGTAAGCATTTGTGCCGTCTTGGTTTTAGCTCGATCAACTATCCAGCTAGAATAGCTTCAAGACTTATTCCGGGGGGAATTAAGAGTTGCAGGAGAAATAGGAGTTCTAGAGACTTCGTTGTTTTGTAGAGAATATATATAGTCACGTAATTCTAGGCGAATAAGTATGGTCTTCTTATGCAAATAAACGCATTTGTTTCAACATTATCGTCTGCTCCCTTAGTCGAGTAATAAGAATAAAGGTAATGAAAGTCAACGTATTTCACAGGGCGTGGAAATTAAAAGTCTGAAATTATTAATCAGCACATCGTTCCGATACCTTATATGGCCAGAAAATCCCAATTATATGTCGTTTACAAATAATGCGATGTCTTCAGATGTACACAGTTTGACACGATTCCTCTTGGCCTGGCATAGAGAATAATACATGGGCGCCCGTAGATATGGAAAACGTCTTACATTACGACAGTACTCTCCGTAAAAACAAGTTTCGTTGATAGTCTGTTGGATAACCAGATAATTAATCAAGTCCATTATGCAGTCCTAGGGCCTCGTCGGCCATGCTTCTGTCGTGATCCCGCGTGATATCAAAGGATGGTCGCTAAATAACGTAGTGATAATTATTTTTCGCAGACATAGACGAATGTCAAGAACAGAAACACAATTGCGACGTCAACGCCCAGTGTAACAATACTTTTGGTTCATTCAACTGTACTTGTGTCCAAGGGTATTCAGGAAACGGTGTAAACTGTTGGGGTATGACAACTAATTGTAGTTAGTAGAATTCTACAAGTATACTAATGCAAATGCTGCAATCTAATTGGCTCAGCTACTCGTATACCATCAGCCATTAGAATGCAGTAGCTGTCGGTCGTCCACAAAATGCGACGTTTTTATCGTTTATCCGAAGTTTTGGAAGAAATTTTGGATGTAAATGGATAATTAAATTCCTGAGAAGACTCAAAGAAGGACATAAACGGATGCTTGACTTTAAACACTTGAAATTATTGAAAAACCGGTGCGCGCGCGTAAACAACTGCAAATTTACCAAGGGCAGTTCAATACGTGCGATTTTGTTAAAGCGTAAAGTTCAATAATACGTCGAAAAATATTTGGGAACCTTTATTTGCGTTAATTTAAGTTATAATTCTACTGAAACAATTAGATTATTCGCTCTCGGCGATAGTTGATTCGGCCTTCGGTCTCATCAACTATATCACCTTATAGAAATCTCGAGCTCATAATCTAATTGTTAATTAGACGGAGTGGAGTACAATTCAAGGAGTAATCCGGCAAGTTATTCGAAATCGGACGAGTATAATTGCATGTATAATTGCAAAAAAAGGGGGAAACATTTTAAGTGAAGTCATTAAAGTGCGCGAGATTGATACGTTAATACAAGAGTTAACAATCGACTATTAAAATACTCGACTTGTTAAAATATTTTACCACAAAATTTTATTTCTCCGCAGACGCAGACGAATGTCAACATCAGACGCACAACTGCCACGAAAATGCACAGTGCATCAACACTATAGGCTCATTCGACTGTACTTGTCTTCGAGGATATTCAGGAGATGGCGTAGATTGTTTTGGTACGATTTATCATTCTATAATCTTCCATCATCTATACATTTTTACAACAATGGTCGTTTTCTTGTAATCTTTTATGGAAGTTAAGGCTTACCTAAGGTAACCACAACGAAGCGTATTTAGTAAGCAGCGGTGTAGAAATAAATTATAATGTTGCAACAAAATGTTCGCAATGCTAGCAGTCTCTTATTAATGTGCCACATGCTGTGATTTATCATTCAATAGCAAGAAAATATATCCGTTTAATAGCACTACTGACCCACAAATAATTAAAGCTAAGAAAGCACTCGACGCTTTTCTAGAACGATGTCTGAATGTTGCTGAAGTAGTTCCACGATGAAACTCTCACCCTAAAATGGGCCTAAAGTAAAGATTTTCCCAACGGGTAATCACAGAAAAAAGAACATTTTTTTCCATAAAACAGGCAACGAACTAGTCGACCTTATCGCCCGAAGAAGACTAGCAGTAAGCAGTCGAAACGTCGCGATCTACATCTCAAGTGACTACATCGTGAGACAAACGATAATACACTTTATTATAACGAACTAGTAGTTTAAAAAATATGAAAACTGCATGAATCGAGATTTATCGTTCTTAGTGGTTAACATGGCTTCCTTAGAAACAGTGTCATCCGTTGCGTGTACCGCAACTTTCCGCTAAATTTTTCTGTCAACTATTGAAAGAAGCATGCATGACAATATTCGATTAATTATTATCCCATTTATGGTACATTTTATTTACATATTCACAGCATAAAGATATCCTATATATACACATATTGTGCCATATGTCACCACGTCAGCAAAATTGCAAGAATTTTTGAGGCGCGACGTTGTCTACACTTTTTAATAACATGCGAACACTGGATGAGGTTTTACTCCGCCGTTAGTTATAAATCACGACGGCGATCAACGAACCTTAAGAAACANAAAAAAAAAAAAAAAAAAAAAAAAAAGGATGACGATTATTCTGCCTTGCCTGCAAAATTGTATAAATTACATTTATACGTATACATTGTCTGACAGATATCGATGAATGTGGAACAGCAACTCACAACTGCCATGGAGTGGCTAACTGTTACAACAATGACGGTTCCTTTACCTGTGAGTGTCGGGATAGTTACACTGGTGATGGGATATTAAATTGTGATCCCGTGGGTAAGTAAGTAAGCTTTGTAAATAGCCAACTAGTCTGCCTCCTGCCAGTTGGGATTTTTAACTATCTTACGTTTATTTGAAATATGTGTTTCCTTTGTTTCAGTGGCAGGCCTGTAAACTAGCTAAGCTTAGTGCTTGTATAGTTAAGTGCATGAGCACTATAAATAAGATTCACATTTTTTACGTTGACATTTACATTAGCGAGTAAGTAAGTAATCGATCTTTATTTAAAAAGACGGTGGTACACGCACACTGGTATACCAATATGGATGTGTTGTAGTTTAAAATGTGTTTTAAGTCAGAATGTAACTGTAATTCACATATTAGTCCACTTCAGCTTCTTTAGTTTTTTGTTTGTTTCCAAGGAGTCATTTTTCGTATAGAATTATATATTCAAACTGTTTTATGACTAATTGTTACTCACAGGAAGAGAGGATTTACAATAGCCGTTTACTAACGTAATTAACTTTTATTTTCTGAGAAGAAAGAGATGTCTGAGTTTCATCCCGCGAGTTACATAAATCGTTTCAACCCTTCTCATTGTTTGTGATATATACTTAAAAAGTGAATGACTTGGCGTCAGTTGTGGACGTCACTGTCTTTTTCGTCTGTTGTATTATTTGTAATATTCCGAGAAAGTATAAACAGAATGAACGGAAAGTTTACGTTTCACTTTTTCCCTGGTTGAATATCTTTCATGCATGTTACCCTTTTTTGCCATTATTTAAGTTGATTAAGCGTGAAGTTTTTTAAAAAAAAAAATTCCAGAATGGAGTGCTCTTGATGATCTCGACCCTTTTTCCCTTAGATCCGTCAATGGTTTTTTCTTTTAATTGACAGGAGACTTCTCAGTAACCATCCGGAACATTTCCAAGGACAAGAATCACGCCACTCTTGTCGAGCGGTCGGTGAAAAGTGTTCAAGAAGCGATAATCCAAGGTTTGCAGAGCGATGCCAATGTATTGGCAAACACCTTGGAATGGCGTATCATTAGTGAAACAGAACTCGATAACTCGGAGACAGCGGAGGGAGCTTTAGTAAGTCAGGGAACAACTGAATGGACCATAAACAGGAGATCTATACCCGCTGGTATCTATCAAGTCAAATTTACTGCTTCTTACAAAATTGGTGATTCGGAGTTCCCACAAACTCTTACTGCCTTTGACTTTGGGTTTATTGAGGTCATTTCAGCGCCGGTAAAAGCCATTATTGACGGTGGCAGTAGCGTGCGCCTGGGATCCGTCGATAATGTAACCGTGGATGGCTCATTGAGTTACGATGGAGATATTGGCCCTGGAAATTACTCAGGATTAAATTTCGCTTGGTCCTGCTTTCATTCGGAGGACAATGCTTCTTTGAGTAATGATTGTTTCGGTTCTTTTGTTGGACACGTAAACGCCATTTCCACTTCCATTACTATCGACCCTCGTCAGCTTGCAGTACGGCAAAACTATGTTCTGAGACTGACTGTGTCCAAAGATGAGAGAAGCTCCTTTGCAGAAATGTCTTTTGAGGTAACTGCTGGAGAAGTACCCCAGGTGGCATTGAGGTAACCACTACCATTACAACTCTGTTAAAGAAAATTGACTCCAAAATTTCTCGAAAAAAGATGCGTTATTTCTCCCACAAGTGAACTTGTGGCGAGATGGTCCAATCAGTCTACTCACCTGTGAAAAGTGTCCAACATACTGCTGATATTGGCAATGTATGTCAAAATCAGACTCTGTTGTAGTAGGGAGAGAGAAAGTATATTTAGACTCAGTAAGTAAAATGAAGAAGACGTAACATGGGACATGAGTAGAACGCATTAACCACACCAGCATATTCCATTATTTCTTTCCACACATTCACTGTTAGTCTTTCGCTTCGTGGTAATGGCTTCTGGGATGAAAACCCAAAAACTCCAAGAAGCTACTTTCTTTTCAATTTTATGTCTTTCGTTCTGATTTCAGATGCTTTGTTGACTGTGGTGCAGTGGTAGCCGCTTCGAACAAGCTCCGAGTGACGTCAGAGTGTGTTAATTCTCCATGCAATGGTTCAGTGTACGAATGGCGATTAAAAAGATTGGATGATAATTCGAGCAAGTGGGAAGGCATACCTATTCCACCTAACATGACCTCAACTGCAGTGAATGCGACCAATATGATTATCAAAAAGAATTCATTGCAATCCAAATCCAAGTACAGTTTAACGTTATTCGTAACATCTCCAGACGGAACAGAGGGTTTCGCCGTGCTTGATTTCGAGACAGCTGGGGCGCCGCACAGCGGGTATTGCACACCGTCAGTAACTGAAGGAGTGGTTCTCGAGACAGAGTTTACTTTTGAGTGTTTTGATTGGCAAGATACAAACGCACTTACTTATGAATTTCAGCTTGGAGAGGAACCAATATCTTACGGAAGCTCTCCCAAGTCTGTTTCGACAGTGTTACCGGCAGGAGCTCCAGAAGATGATTACAAGTTACAAATTAACGTCGTCGTCAAGAATGCCGTCGGCGTTGCGGTTGTAGTAAATCTGTTTATTAAGGTAACCAAATTAAAGAAGACGCATTGATGCTATTTTTCTCCACAATACATTAAAGGGTGCAAGAGTAAACAACCGGAGATTTACTTTCTCGTCGTGATTCTAAAAGTCCTTTTTTGTTTGCAGTCGCGGCTTGTCATCGATATCAATCTTGTCTTTATTTTTACTTTTCAGTTCTCACTTTAAAAGTTTACCAATTAAAAAGCGGATAAGAAATCCACATTAATGAGGCAGCTTCTTCATTCAATTTGATATTTTCATTTTTTTTGTCTCTATATCATAAAGCTGCATCAGACGAATTTGTTGGCATGCTGTCTTCAATCAGATATATTAAGACGGAAACCATTTTTTCCGGATAAATATGCTATACTAAGCTATCAAATATTCTTCACGCATTAATCTGTTTAGCTTTTCACGCATTCATCCACGTCCCAGCAGCTATCACTCGTTGAGAGCGCCTTTCTAGAGCACGAGTCTACTTGAATGTCTTTTTTAGTTAAGTGATGTCATTTCTCGTGTTTTATTGTCCGGTAAAATTTCATCGGATATAAAATAAGTGAAGAACTTCACGAGTCACCTTTGTAACGGATGCGCAAAGTAACATTACGGTACAATGGCTAACTGACACTTCAAAAACTATCATTATATCCCAGGAAGAATAAGGTGTAAAAATCAAGCCTATAAAAAAGCACACGTATCTTTAATGAATGAAAAATCAAAAGCAGGCATGCCAGAGAAAGGTTCATTTTCCCGTTATAAAGCATCAAATGACTTGTTAATGAAATAGCCAAGGGCTGAAGAGAAAGTATTCTCTACTTTTCGACAAAACGTCCAAAATGTCAACAAAATGTCCGAGACAAAAGGGGATTTTGTCAAAGACTTGTAGAATATGCATATAACATCTTGTCTGTTCAACTGCAGGTTAAACCAGCTGCTGATCTTGATCCCTGTCTATCGTCGTCAGATGAAGTCGCAAACAAGTTAAAAAGCTTTGTACTTGGGGAAGGCAATCCACTGGATGGATTTCTTAATAAAGGGGAACTCTCTCAGGCTGCCCAGCTTGCTTTGTCTGTCCTCAAGTCTGCCAACGAGAAAAACGATTGTGAAAAAACATTGGACCCAGGTGTAAAAATGTTGGTACGTCCACCGTCGTGTAAACGATTATTGTTCTCCACATCAAGTGAGACATTTTTTCGTTCACCTTGATTTAGAGAAACAAACGTCGATCATACGATCTTGTTTTTATTTGGCTCTCGTTAAAAAAAAAAAATTTACAACGATTGCAAGTGCGTATCATTACATGCCGCAGTTGATCATTATTAAATTTGTACGTCAGTGATTAGCGATCAGTGGACAATTTCACAGCTAAATCAAGGGTTGTACAATGTAGCATGTCTCCCTTGTACATAACTATTTGAGTGGATAACGATCAATATTTCAATATTCTGACTCGAAAAGTCAATTCCAATTTGAAATAAAAATCATTTTACAACGAATGCAAGTACGGTTTATTACATGCCGTAGTTGATCATTATTACATTTGTACGTCAATTTTTTAGCGATCAGCGGAAAATGTCACAGCTAAATCAAGGGTTGTACAATGTAGCATGGCTTCCCAGTACATGACTATTTGAGTGGATAACGATCAATATTCTCACTCGAAAACTGAAGTCAATTTCCAGACAACAAACTTAATCTTTCTCGGTGCTCAGTCTGGGCCATCTTTCCTATCAGTTGTTTTCAAATAATACACATAAGTATTATCCTTTTCTCTCTTTGCTAGATTTCTGAAACAATAATTATGAAGTTTACAGTTATAACGCCAGAGAGTCTTGAAATGTCCCGCTTGGTGATGTCAGTGGTTAACGTGGCGATGGGCGGCGAGAAAGGGACGGGAGGGAGTAATAGTCTAGTAAGTAATATACTCCATCTTTCTTAAGAAAACTGAGTTCGCTATCTATCTTTATCTATCATGGTAGACAGCGTATTTTGAGATTAAAAACAAATGCTACACCCCTCCCAATTTCAACGTGTACTTATACTTCCTTTAGAAAGACCATATCTGAAAAATTATTAGATATTCTATAATATACATTTTACCTCTTAGGTATTTATAATGCAAATGACAGAGAAGGTTTCAAATATGCTAGTTGATAACCTCAACGACTTGGAGGAGCCATTTTCTCCTGTGATAGAGCAAACATCTAAGAGCATTACAGGATGTCTCACCAATGTTCTTCAGTCAGCAGCAGGTGCAGATCAAGCGAACGGAGTCTCAGATGACAACCAACCTTCCTCACAGGTATAAGGATTTAAGTTATCGTTTGGACAGCACTAACGGTACTTACCCAACTGTACACTAGTGAATGCCATAATACGGAAATCTGGTTTGTTCATTTGCACGTTTAGAATACAGATTGTGAAAAAAGGACTAAAAGCTTTAGGCAATCTCTATTGTAGTAATTGCCGAAAAACAAAAAAACAAAACTGCCGAGAGTGTTTTTCTTTTTTATTGCAGTTCGTGAAAAAGGCTTTGGGGAAATTGAGTAACATGAGCGATGCGTTATTTGGCCGCTTGGTTCCGTCCGAAGCCTTAGTAATTCGTACAAACAACTTGGCAACAACTTTGAAGAAGGTCGCCGTCGACGATGTGAAGGGACTCGCTATGGAAGAAGGGCCCACAAAATTTAAGCTACCTGCCAATCTTGGAGACATTGGCGATGGAGATATTAACGCACGGGTATGGATAGTGACTGTTTTCTATGCTTTTGTCCAGTCGTTTTCGTTCATTTCGCCAGGGCCGAATCATCCCATCTATTGTTCTCTTCCTTGATTGTTGCTTCCAACCTCCTGTTTAATGTCACTCAGCAATGAGCAAGTCATATTTTGGCACCCTATCTACTCTGCTTGGGCAATAATCTCTTTGCTGGACAGCAAAACAAACGTCTTTTTGCGGACACGCATGGTCAGCGAACAAAAGCTGGACCCAGTGAAACCGCGTGAATGAAGCTGGGGCTTGATGGACGCTTAACACGGCCCTAAAAGGCGTTGTTTTTCGGTCCCACTCTCTCGAACAAATTTTCGTTTCCCCTCGAAGTTCTATCATTCAACATTCCAAGTTTATTCGGCTCCAGCTTATGCCTGAAACTTGATCGGGGAGTTCACTTCGTAATATTTAGCCAGTCTATTTAATTAATAATTGCTATGCTATCTTAATAAACCCCAATCTTGGACTTGCCTTGCAGATGCAAGCTGTTGATTTCAATCCTTTCACCTGGGACAACAGCAGCAAAAAGATCAAATCAAGTGTAACCAGTCTTGCTCTTCAAAGTGGCAATGGGGAAAAGATTAATGTGTCAAACCTTGATAATTACATTGAGATAGTTATTCCGATTTCGGGTCCACCGACAAACAACAGCAACGGAACGGAACATTATTTCCTAAAGCCAAACAAAATGTCATTCCGTAGTTATTACGCAGAGCTAGCAGATGTACCCGTTTCTATCAAAATCAAAGCGCAAAAACAAGGAATTGCTATTCAATTGTTTTTGAAATTTGGAGCAAGACCTACAATCGAGGACTTTGATCACAACTTCACTGTTACGTCAACATGTAAAAATCAAACAGATGACAAACAAAACGAAACATTCTGCCCTCTAGAAGGGGGCTCATTAACAGTGGTACCTTCTGAACCAAGTCGTCTTTATGTTGGTCTGTTGATTCTAGTCAACGAACATTCCAGAAGACGGAGATCGGCATGTCTTGGTCATGGTCGTGAAAGACGGTCATGTGTCGGCGTCAAGGATCCCCCACCAAAAGGAGTTACTAAAACAGTTATTCCCCAGTATGATCCATTAACCGATGTCAACTACACCTTCAGTATTACCCAATCAAGTTGTCTGTATTGGTCTGAAGAAAAAGAGAAGTGGACTTCCGATGGTTGCAAGGTAAATTATAATTAAGTCAGTTCTAATTTCTGCTTGAAAATGAGCAAATTCAGGAGCTGGATCTCTATCTGCATTCAGAGTTTTGATATTTATATTGAATAACATGATTTTTTTAATATTTGTAATTTAACAGAATTCATGTTCAATGGTATTTGTCATTCCTAAAGATTAGTAATTCAGTATATTAAACTTGAATTTTCTCTTATCAATACACCACTAATATCGTTCATAACATTAGCGCCTAGTAGTATTTACTTCCATTTTCAGTAAAACTCCAGTGTTTTGTCCTCAGACTGGACAATTATGGGTTTTTTGATTTTTAGCATAGGAAAGAAGATTAAAATATTGCAACTGTACGTTTTTGCTTACAAGCAATTTTACGTGATTTTAAATTTTAGTCAACCTCCGGGATAAGCTTGTGCCTAAGGTTGAACTTTGTTTGTAGTTTTGCAGATTTCCATCGCTTAGATGTTTTTTTTTTTCTTTTCTGGAGTACATGAATTTAAGACCAGCTTTATCGCCAGGCAAGCTTTATTTCCATTGTGGTTCGCCATTGATTGTAAGTTACGGATTACGTGTTGTGATTGTTCCCTCGGTTTTGGAGTTTGAGCATACAACTCGTTGGAATACAATTTTTTCCATACTTGCATGCCTTAGACCAGGGTTCTGGAAGTGATTAAAGGAGAAAAACTAGCCCAAATTACAATCAATGTTCCCCTTTGTTCTTACTGATTATGCATGCTTCTCTTTTAGGTTGACGCCAGTTCAAACACCACTCATCTTAAATGCCTTTGCAACCATTTGACTTCCTTTGGTGGAAACTTCATTCAAGCACCAAATCCCATTGATTTTGACAAGGTTTTCACTGAGTTTACGCGCCTTGGAGAAACTGGCAATATTTCAGTACTTGTCACAATAGCATCTGCTTTTCTTCTCTACTTCGTTATCTTAATATTCGCAAGGAGGGCCGACAAGAAGGACGAAAGCAAGGTACAGTCACCTCTAAAGGAATGCGTATATTGATATAGATATTCTAGATGTTTTGATAGCCCTTTTTACCTTTGAAAGAAATTCTCTAAATGGGCCCTTGCGCTAACAATACATAAGTGGAAGTCATGTATATTAAATCATTTCCAATTACCGTTACATGACAGATGTCCTTTTCTAAGAAAAGAAAATACTGCAAAAACATGCCAACGCTACCATCTCTAATAGCTCGTGTGAAATAACTTCTACATTTATTGCAGACGTCTTCTCCTAAGCATGTAACCATCTTTGATGAAGGAAACTATTTTTACGACATGGTTATTAGCACTGGTGTTTGGAAACATTCAGGAACAACAGCCAACGTATGTCTTAGCGTTAAAGGCGAAGTTAATGAGCACAAGCTAATTCCGCTGCGAAGTAAAGAAGAGTCAGGTGAAATATTTGCTCGAGGAAGTATTAATGGCTTTGTCCTCATCACTGACGAATCATTGGGTACTTTAAATGAAATAACTTTGGAACACGACAATTCCGGAGATGACCCCTCTTGGTTTGTGGAGACAGCCGTAATTCAAGACAGGCAGACAGAGGAACGATGGGTGTTCCCGATAAATAGGTGGCTTGCGTTAGAAAAGGACGATGGACAAGTAGAAGTTACCGTGGACAACCAAAGTGTTGCGTCCTTTTCAGCTCATGTACGTTCGCGCTTTGGACGAAAGATTGCAGACGGTCATCTATGGGTCTCAGTGTTTGGTAAAGCATGTAGCAGCACTTTCACCCGCGTACAAAGAGCCTCGTGTTGTCTCTCAGTGCTATTCAGCGCCATGATTGCTAACGCTATGTTTTATAACATTGGTGGAGAATCCGACGGAGCTATACAAGTTGGTCCATTTAAGTTTTCTTGGAAACAGATTGTCGTGGGAGTTCAAAGTGGACTGATAGTTGCACCTGTTAACATCCTGATTGTCCTCCTGTTTAAGTCCAGTAGACCAAGAAGGAAAAAGGCAGACAAGTATAAAGACATTGACCGGGCCCAGCGACTCGTGGATGAAATAAGTGAAACAGGTTGCATGTTGCCTCATTTCTGTGTGTACATCGGTTGGTTTCTATGTTTCGTCACAACTCTTACAGCTGCAACTTTCACCTTATTTTACAGCTTAATGTGGGGTAAAGAAGTTGCCGAACAATGGCTTGCTTCAATTTTGATTTCCAATGGACAAGATATTTTTGTTGTACAACCAACAAAGGTAATGCTGGCCGTCATTGTAATTTCTTTGCTCTTGAGCCGAAAAAACAGCAACAAAGAAGGAGATTCTGGAGAGGGTGAAGATTATGATTCATATGACGATGATATCGATTTTCTTGGTGATGATCCTAAACAGCGCTTTAAGCAAAGTCTGTTGGAAAAGATGCGTATCCGAAGCAAAAAAGAAGCTCAGTTGACAGACATTGTGAAGGACATTGTTCTTCATCTAATATTTGTGTTTCTCCTGGCTATTGTTTGCTATGGCAACAAGAATAAAAACCGTTTTCTAATGACAAGTGCAACGAGAAATGCCTTTACAAAGTTTGATCTGGTAAGACTGAAGTATGAATAGCTATGAAAAGGAATATAGTAAAGGAAGTCTTCCATCTCGCACTGGGTGGCTAGCAGGATAAATACTATCAAATGAATAACTTCCTTTGTTGAAAAGACACCGAGCCAAAAAAGTATTAATGTAGGCCTTCCAAAAGTAATAAAAGTGTGCAGAGGTCGCCAAATAGGTGGATATACTGTGCAATGTAGGTGGGGCAATTTCCGGCGACTACTTTGCAGCCCAACCTGGTGGGAGGAGGTTTACACAAAGGTCTCTGCGCTAATGCTTAATAACACCTTAAGCAATTCTTCGGTTTGTTAAAAATCAGTGCTCTATCTGAGACGAATGACAAATTTGTTTCGTTATCTCAAAGCTCCTGATTTTAAAAATCATCCCTTAGTTTATACTTGAACTTAACGGCAACCTTGGGTTCCAAAGGCGTCCTGAAGTTACATTTTTACTTATTTTCGCGGTAACTTAATTTCGCAAAATATGGAACGGGCATACTTTTGCGGGACTTAAATTTCGCTTTTTGATGAAAAGAGAGTAAATGTCCAAAAACATTTTCTTTAATTAAGCGTCTGGGTCTTTAATTTCGCGATTCGTTCTAAATTGCGAAAATTGGTAGTGCCAAAAAAAAGTAACTATAAAGTATTTTTTTGTCGACGCTTAACTCATCAAGGCAAGAAGAGTAGATTAGCTTCGCAAAGGAGGAGCAATTGGTCCCTTGCAACCAACATTTAAACTCAACCTTTTTTCACATTTTAGGTAACCGACTCCCAGAGATTTTCGCGTTGGTTAAGGCAAGAGTTCCTTCCAAATATTTACAGTCAAGCGTGGTACAATGGCTTTGAAGAAAACAATGATGTATACATCGCAAACAAGATGTCAATATTGATCGGCATGCCTTGGATGCGACAGCTGAGAGTAAAAAAAAGTAAGTAGTAATAAACGTTTTATTGCCAAAAATGAACACCAAAAAATTAAATTACATCGCTGGAATTTTGTTTATGACCAGACTAAATTGGACAAACCTTTCCTGCCTGCCCGTGTTTAAGAAAAGGCATGAAACAGAATCATGAGTCTCAGGCGGAGCCCATACCTTGTCGGCTCTTCTGAATACAGAGTGCTTAATCTGAAAAGGAGCTGAAGGAAATTGAATGCTGGACAACAAGTTTTTACTCTGTTCGGATGAGTTACTTGGGTCAAATGTCTTCGGTTCATTAATAACAACGTGAACAACCACATACTGCTTGATGAAGGTATTCGTGCCTTTTCTTGACCGCACGTTTCTCTAGAGGATAGCTATTATCTAGTTCAGTCCAATTCAGAATTTTCTGTTTTTCCAATATTACATGCAGTTAGTGCAATTGGAAAGATGAAAAATATAAATAAAAAAATTCTTAGAAAGACTGAAAGACATGAATGATTATTGCAGTTTTTTATTCAATGTTTAAAGATAACTCAAGCCAGAACGTCGTTCAGGCTTTATCCTCACAACTGCCAAAGTCGTGTGCACAACTGCAAGAACAGTTAGTCTTCAAGTAGTTTAAAGATCTTTAAAAAAGCTAAATTTGTGCTTTTTCTTGACTGCAGATCTCTTTAGAGAACAGCTATCATTTGATTCAGTCCACTTCAGAATTTTCTATTCTTGCGTTAGAACAGTTAGTCTTCGGGTCGTTTCAAAAAGACACTCTTTATTGTGATTCTGTTGTGATCCAATCTGCAATGTTTATTTCTTATTTTTAAGGTCCGTGTGGATTACTCTCAGAAATCATCTCAGTCTGCTATTACGATTATTCACCCGAGGGAGAGGACACCACATTGCTGAGTCTTCCAGGATGGAAACCTCTCCTCTACAATACATCATGGCCAAAGGCTCTGCGAATGTGCCCAAAGCCTTGGCGTTACCAAACAGCCAAAGACCTGGCCAATGATCCAACAAAAGCCGCATACAATACATATGAAGGAGGTGGCTATCCTGCTGTCCTTGGGTATGACGAAAACACTGCCCTCGGCGTCTTAAGTGAGACACTTGAACAAGGATGGGTTGATCGGCAGACTCGCGCGATTATTCTAGAGTTCGCAATTTTTAACATTAACACAAACTTGATCAGCATCGCTGCTTACTTCTTCGAGATGATCGCTACTGGCGCTGCCTACACTTCAAGGAGGGTTGAAACACTCGAGTTGTACGGTACAGAGTCAGGAGCTCTGATGTTCTATCTCATTTGCCAGTTTTTGTTCATGGCCATGGTGCTATATTACTTCATTATGATCCTGATCCACCTATATCGGGAGCGTCTTGGATTTTTCAAGTCTGTCTGGAATATGATTGACTTCTTAATGATTGTCTCTTCTGTCGCCTCCGTTTCATTCTATATGATTAGATCTAAAAGTATATTACAGAGCATCAAAGCAATCCAATCTAATCCTTTTGAAATTATGCATTTTCACTCAGCACTAGATTGGGCCAACTGGGAAAATGCCTCAATCGCTGTTGCCGTTTTCATCGTGACACTGAAGCTTTTGAATCTCATCCGTTTCAATCCTTATGTGATTTTCTTGTTTTCATCTTTCCGGCAGTCTGTAGGCTACCAATTGTCATATCTGGGTGTTTTTCTCATCGTCTTCAATGCTTTTGTCATATCAGGGATGACATTTTTTGGTGGTACGGTCATTAACTACTCAAGCTACCTGCAAGCAGTCATCTCGCAGTTTCAGTTTCTTCTGGGAACTGCTGTCCCACTCGATGACCTCCGTAATGACAAGCCCTTTATTGGCCCAACGTTTGCTCTGCTATTCATGTTATGCATGACTGTCATCCTTATGAATATGCTGGTTTCAGTCCTAAATGAGTCGTACACTGACGCCAAGACAAACGTTGAAGAAAGTGCCGACCAGCTTGAAATGGTCAGATTCATTGGTGAACGTTTCATGGAAATGTTTCAGGAAGGTAAAAGGAAACCTGAATTCAAGCTATTTTGTGACGACGTGACTTTTACTAACATGTGCAATTCTGACGCAGAGCCATTCTGTTTGAATTCTGAAAGTATCATCCAGTGCACCGAGCAGAGATTGGAGAAAGTGGAGAAAAGACTATCCGCCCTGACTCGGCGAACGGAAAACGCAGTGACTGACCATTTTAAGGAGGAAGATGAAATTTTCGATCTCTTCTACCTGATTCTAGGGGAGGGGCCCGGGGGACCCGGACTCCCCCCTTATTTTGGGTAAAACAAAAAAAAATCGAAGTAGGAAGAAAAGCCGGCAGGACAAGCAAGAAAACATAACAAGTTGAAAGATAACAACTATATTCAAGGATAAGAAAGCAATAGGAAAATTGTCAAGAGAGCCCCGCGTTCTCCTCCTTACATGTGATCGGGTTGTTCAAAGCTTAAGCAAACCCAGGATTAGGAAGAATTTTGACTTCAGTTTTGTACTTTCTCGGTGAAGTTTTCTGTTTCTACTGTTTGTCCTTCAGTTTTGAGCTTGAGTAATCTCACACAACACAAAACGTAAGAAGTGAAGAACAGTTTTATATCGGAAATATTGATACTTCAGTTAACGTTTTATCCGGGGTTACTGTTTTCGAACAACCCAGCAGGGTAGTACATCGTATTTACATTGTTGTCAATTTATATTTCCGAGAGGAACAATGGCGCTACAGTAGAAAGAAATTGTTTAAACAATATCGGTTATTTTTTTGCTTCCTAATTAGACTAGACGATCTTACGTTCGAAAGAAGGAGCCTATAGCGATCGAGGGTAACTTGCGGAACAGAAGAATAAGCCTTGATAGTAAAGCATGTAAAAAAAA